CCCTCTCTCTCTCTCTCTCTCTCTCTCTCTCTCTCTCTCTCTCTCTCTCTCGACGCGAACTTTGAAAATTCAGGTAAACTTGGGGAAACTTAGAAACGCGTCAGGTCGCTTTTAAGAGCGAAATCATCTCGTGGCTAATTGTTCGCGTTCTGGGAGATCACGACGACGAGCTGAATCGGTTTCTGTTTCGTCGGGAAACAAACCGCGCGGCGATCACTCACGAGCGTTGTGTATCATTAATTCATTATGTCGACCGCGCTCATTACGGCACACACATCGATCGCGCAAAACACGCCGTACAAAACGTTTCGCCTAATGTGCACCCGGACAGATGAGATTTATGCCACGGAGCGTGTAATTAATTATCAAACTGCTCCGCAAAACTTCCGTGACTCGCTCGTCTGTTGCACGCCTCTTTCCGCGTACTTCCGTGTGCGAAATTGATAGTAGCGGCTCACTTTCGATGAAATCTCCCGTCCTGATCCGAAGCTTCGAACAATTCTTCAAGTCCCTCCCGGCAAAGATGCCTGGGAAAGCTCATAAATAAAACATGGCTCAGACACTTGAACACGATACAGGCGATCTTCCGTGCAGCTTTGAAATTCTCTAAATCTCTTAGGGTGATGTCTCACTTAAAACTAGTAAAAGTTTACTTGAAATGATCAAGAAAACATCATCATTCGAAATCGCAAGAGTGAGACATTCACTAAAACAAAATTCTTAATCCATACAAGTGAATGTTTCGATCGAACGAAATGAATTTTTTTTTTTTTGTGAAATATGTCAGATTTATTTTTTAATTTTGAGTGAAATTGTTCACTCATCTCGACGATCCAGACTGAAGGATTCACTCTATAGCGAATTTACTCTACATCTGTTCACTCAATTTGAGTGAAGAATCATTCGAGTAACTCGGCTATTTTATTTTTGTGTGACAAATTTCACTCGAAAAAATACAGATTTATTCTTAAATTTCGAATGGAACTACTGAATGAACTGTTCATTCGACGATTCATGCCGAAGAATATTCACTCTACATCAAGTTCACTTTGTATGAGTGAAAAGCCATTCGAGTTCGACTCGGCTATTGTGTCGCTTCTCGAGGCGAATTCCGCGTGGAAAAAATTTCGAGAGAAAGCAATCGCGGATCACCGTAGCAAAAAGCGAGTCGAATCGGGAACAAAGTCGCGCCTGTGAGAACTGCCCAGCTATCTTATTTAATTGCTGGCAACTTTATTCAGCCGCGATCCGCCCATTGTTGCAACGATCGTTATCGGCTTGATCGGCCGCGAGCGCGCGACCTTCGGCGGTTAGATCATCCGACCTATTCCACGCTGACCTTCATTCATTCGGCAAAAGGACGGACTTTTGTTTCTCTCCTCGTTCGGGGCCGAAGTATCGTCGCTCAGAAAGCAGGCCACTTGCCACGCAACGTCGGTTCCACGGCTCGAATCCGGGGAAACTTTAATTACTCCGCCGGCGAAACGAACTTCGCGATACGTTAACCTTGTGTCTCTTTTTCTTCCTCCCTCTCTCTCTACCCTTTCTCCCTCTCTCTCTCTCTATCTCTTCTTCTGCGTGAAGGTGCTCGAGCACATACGGTCGGTGCCGTATCGCCGAGCTGGAGGATCCGACGAGAGGTACGCGAATACCGAAGAGTAACGAGCAGCTCGTTCCTTCGCTCCGAGCTGAGTCATCTGCGAGACGTCAAGACGCAGCCAGCGAAAAACAGTGAGGAACGAGCGGATTTCACGGTTCCGCGGCGGAACGCGCGGATCGAGCGGCGTTCTTCGCTAAATCTCGAGACGATGTGTACTCGTTCCCGAGATTACATAAACTCATATATACATTGACGGTATATTAAAATCAAAATCGGCATTTTTATACCTGCGAGGGGACCGACTCCCGTTCGCTGAATCGACGAAAAATTCGTTCCTGAAAATGTACAATTCGTTCCATTAAATGTACGATTCATAAAGTTAAAATAAATTTCAGGTCGGTAGTTTCGTTCTCTCGCCGTGTACGACGATTCTCGCCCACTGAAACGGACGGCAAATCCCGTTCCTGAAATTAGATTTACACAATTAATGAAATTTTGAAACGAATTTCGGATCGGCGTTTTTATTCTCGCGAGCCGTGCGACGATTCTCGCTCATTAAACCGACGGAAAGTCCTTCAAATTAAATCTGTATAAAAATAAGAAAGTAACAGTAATTTTCAGGTTTAACTTTGTTTCCGCGAGCCGTGCAAGGATTCCCGAAAGGTTCGCTCTTGAAATGAAATTTATGCAGTTAATAAGATTGAAATGAATTTTCTTCAGTCCTGGCGAAACTTGCGCGTTGGATTGCATCGCGATTGTCAAAGCACACATGACTATCTCACGTCTTATTTATTTTCGCGTTTCGGGAAAATCGCATACACGCAGTTTTCGGCGAAGAGGCGGAATTCTTGCACACGAGGAAATATTTACGATGAGCGACTAATAATAACGGAGCTTATGTTGCGTGATAGTTACGTGATAGCCCGAGTCGAAATTTTAGTCTTATTCTCGACCTGAATTTTTTAACATCTAACATCTGTACATACTGAAGGATCAATGTGCATTTAATATACATGGAAACTGAACTTCTAGAGTCCACTTATAAGTAAATTTATCCAAAAAGGTACATTCCGATTTGTTTC